AAACAGATCATATCAAGCAGCACCTACACTAGAAGGACATAAGAAACTAGTCAGATTAAGTTTTGAGGGAATTGGTTGCCAGCTATCTACTTGATGGCACCATAGGTCACCTAGATGGCGTGAGACTTTCATCTCTGAGTTCACACAGAGCATGACCATGGGCTACTTGCAACACGATAAGCAGATATGAGTAACAGCTTGTTATGTGACCTCGATAAGGCCCTTTATATATAAAGTTATTTATTAGGTATTCTACTGTTTCATTGTATTTATTTGACTTTATTTTTTCTAATTCAATGTTTTACAGTGCGATTATAGCCGATACCAGTGGTCCCACTGCTAGTAGTAATAATATAAACCCTTCATCCCCAGAGCAACAGTGATCGCCATATTATGGTCAACATAGACAATACAGGAAAGTGCCCGCATTCGATCTTTCAGGATATCTCCATTGGCTCTTTAGGGTGAAATGGAAAAGCCATCTATATGTATATATATACAGGCTTTCTATAAGTATACTATATACTTTGTGACAAACTCAGAAGTTGTCTGAATTGAAATTTGTCACAGAACGATACCAAAATCCTCACCGGTTAAACTTGTAACTCTTGCCATAACCGCTCCAGACACAGAGGCTGGAGAACCACGGGTTTCCGTCGTTGGAAAAAGACCCCAACCGTCTATCAGTAATGCTGGCTATAGCACTGAGACACATAAAAATACCCAGTCGCACCAGTCAAACCAAAACGGTCTTAAAGGTGATCACAAACGTGCGAGGACCGAGCCCAAGCCCACGGTTAGCAGATCAAATTGTGTAATCCTCTTTAATGTACCAGACTGTAGCAGTAGTCTGCTGAAAGATAGGGCCCTATTTGATCAGGAACAGTGGTCCATCTTAAGTAGCACACTGGGTTTGGACATCCAACCAGTAAATCTATGCAGATTGTATAGGGGCACTGCTGCACCTGAAGGCAAACCATCCCCACTGAGGGTAACATTGAGCTCTACCGAGGATGTTGAAAAAGTGTTACTGGCTTCTCAAGTCCTTTCTATAGGGAGGGCCTGTAACATACGTGTTAAGCCAGACAGGCCGTGGAAGGAAAGACAAATGGCGAGGGAGTCGCCAGAGCTCATTCCTTCTGCCTCCATGGTTGTGCATGGCATTCCCGAACTGGTAACTGGGAACGCCTGCGAAAAGCATTGTCATGATGTACAACAATGGAGATGGTTAGCATCCCAGATGGCCCTGGGAAGTTCAGGGGCTGTCTCTATTTATAGACTGCCTCGACCCACTCATCTTATGTCAATTAACTCGCCACGTCTGTTAGCTGTCAAGTTCAGCTCCCAAGACCAGTTGACTACCGCTCTCCATAGATGGTACGAGACCAAGGACAAGGTCAGCAAACACATTCGCTGCTGCGAGAGCCGGCCTCGCACTCAAAGGAGAGAACAAAGCGTAGTAAAAGAAAATCCTCAACCCCTAGTCACACTACAGCGGTGCAGCACGGACGATGATAGCCAGTGTCATCCGAGTGCTCCAACTGAACTAGAAGAAAAAAACGCCAACAGGCCGGTTCCTGGGGAATCGGCCAACTAGTTCGTAGGATAACTCCTCAACCGATAGCCAATATCAAGTCAACTACCCCCCAATACGGGGAAGTGGTGAGACTGACTACCAGTTGCCTGTATAGTAATGTGAGAGGGCTAAGAGGCAAAATAGCTGAACTTAGACACCTACAATCACAACTAAACTCCAAAATCATAATACTGACGGAAACCTGGCTAACCCCTACGGTGGCAGACAGCGAAGTCAGTATAAATGATATGGTCCTAGTCAGGCGAGATAGGGACCTGAAAGAAGGAGGTGGAGTCGCCATATACGTCGACAAACAGCTCAGATGTGTTCACGCGACGGACCCTCCCCTCACAGAGCTCCCTGACTCCATATGGTGCCACTTCACCGTTGGGTACTGCAAATATCTAGTGGGCAGCATTTATCGATCACCTTCATGTGGAGCAGACCACAACCAGGTACTGCTAAATACAATTTCAGCGACTCAAGACATGGGTTATGATCAAATTGTCATAGCTGGTGACTTCAATGCCCCATCTCTTAACTTGGTGTCGGGAAAAGCCCATGATAGATTTGATCGAAATCTGCTGCATACCATCAGGAAGGCTGGATTCACTGAAAATGTCAAGATGGATACTAGATGGGGCCCTGATGGGAAGTCTTCTAGACTGGATTACGTGCTCACTAGTGACCAGCTACTAGTGGAAAACGTTCAGATCACGACTCCCATAGGTAGTAGTGACCACGCGGTCATAGTATTCGACATAGTCCTCCGCGAGCGCTTACAGTGGGACAATACACAGCCCTATCTGTGTTATAACAAAGCCAACTACACCAAAATGCGAAGACTTCTGTCTGAAGCAAATTGGCCTAAAAAATGGACAGAGCTAACAGTAGAAGAACACTGGAGAGTGGTAAAGGAGATCATTCACCAGGCGGTCTCAGACACTGTTCCTTTAGTCTCACCAAAAGCTAGGAAGCAACGATCATGGCTGAAAAGGGGACACAACGCCTTCTGCAGGCAAAGCGAAAAGCCTGGTTCGCGTGGCGACGATCGAAGAGTCAACCCGAATATGAAGTGTACCTTGAACTCAGGAATCGATGTAACATACGAGTCCGGAGCGATAGAAGGACATTTCAGGGAGACCTCGCCAATAAGCTTCTCGTGAACCCCAAAAGCCTATACAGGTTTATGGCCGAAAGAAAACCGACCAACCAGGGAGCATGCAATCTAGTGGGTTCTGATGGGAAATCTCTTACTAGTCTTGAAATGGCAGAGACATTCAGCCTAGCCTTTCACAGGCAACTAAATAGTAACGAGGATATTACCCCTACAGAACATCCAGATTACATCGCAAAACCAACACACGAAAACCTGCTGGGGACATTTCAAATTACCCCGGCTATGGTACTTGCAAAATTGGGAAGGTTGGCTTCGGGAAAGTCTCCAGGTTGTGATGGCATCAGACCATCTGTCCTGAAGCAGTGTTCAGAAAGTCTCTGTCAACCCCTAAGTGATCTGTTCCAACACTCCCTTGATGTAGGGAAACTTCCATGTGAATGGAAACGTGCAATCCTATCCCCTATCTTCAAGGGTGGTGACCGGCAGAATGTGACCAGTTACAGACCAGTTGCTCTACTTCCAGTGGTATCGAAGATATTGGAAAGTCTCATTGACGACCACATGAGAAAATACTTCGATGGGACTAACCTTCTTCACGAAGCACAGCACGGTTTCAGGAGGGGAAGATCCTGCGTGACGAATCTTCTACTAGCCTGGAACGATTGGACACTATCCTGGGACAAAAAGGTACCAGCCCACGTGATCTTTCTCGACTTTGCGAAAGCATTCGACACAGTTCACCATGGTCTGCTCCTTCACAAAATAGGCAAGGCGGGAGTTTCTGGAGCACTTCTCGCATGGCTGACAGATTACTTAGGCGAGAGAGAATTCTGCACCAAAGTCAACCGCATCCGATCATCTTGGCACACCTCGGCATCAGGGGTTCCTCAGGGTTCTATCCTAGGGCCGTTGATGTTTTTGATTTTTATCAATGACCTGCCCCCCCAACTAAACTGCTCTGCGCTTCTTTACGCTGACGACGTAAAGATTTGGAGAGCAATAAACTCATCGGAAGACTCAGATAGATTGCAGGCTGACCTGCAAACTCTGGGAAATTGGGCTTTGGCTAACGGAATGCCTTTCAATCTAAAGAAGTGCAAAGTAGTGCAGCTTCATTCCGGCAGGTCACAGAGTGTAAATTACACCCTTGGTGGCCAGAACTTGAGTTGTGTTCCATCAGAGCGTGATCTAGGTCTTATTCTAACAGAAAAGCTAGACACCAGTGGAAATTACTCGAGGGACGTCGCCAAAGCCTACGCAACATTACACTTTATGCACAGGCAGCTGGGAGCTCTCACTCCCGAACTGTTCTTAAGGCTATACAAGGCATATGTGAGGCCACACCTTGAGGTGCATAATATCATTGCACCTCCGCTACTCAAAAGGGATGCTAACATTCTAGAAAGTGTCCAGAGACGAGCGACAAAATGGGTGATCGGCCTCCGCAACAAATCATATGAGGAAAGACTAAAGAAATTAGGTCTTTTCACACTTAGTTACCGTAGGCACAGGGGAGACCTCATCACCGTCTACAAGATCCTAAATGACCAGGCCCACCCAAATAAAAGCATCCTGCCATTAAGCGATTATAGGCTTCCACGAGGTAACCCGCTAAGGATAGCACACCAGAGACCAAAGACTCGAGTGCGATCACATTTCTTTTCGCTTCGTGTTTGCCGTCTCTGGAACGCTTTACCGGCGGCCGTGACTACAGCGCCATCTCTGGAGATTTTTAAGCGGAAGCTAGACAATCATGCAGAAATGCAAGGTTTGTGTCTCAATGGCTTATCCTCATAAAATTTGAAACCAAACTGTCAATGAATAAGCGTACAAACTAAATCCCCACGACCTATTCTGCCTTCTCTCACTCTATCTTTTCCTTAGGTCACCTTTATTATTCCACTTATCTCAACCTATATTATCTACACTACAACCTATTATTATTATTATTATTACTATTCTGCTTTTATGACTACACCGAATGACCAAGGGGAGTTAGGTCAAACTCCATTCACGGCAGCAATACAGTCCTAACATACTGCATACTACAAACCACATCTCGACCAATCCCCGCACCACTCCTCCTGGAGTCTACCAGAGCTAAAGCAGTCGAGTGTCGGGACTTACTACGCAGAAGCTCACCGAAGATCTGGAACCTCTACCTCACAATCAAGAAGCGAGCTCAAAGAAATCACTGGTTTATACTAGCTCGTAATCAGGATATTGGATATTGGATATTGAATCACCCTATAAATATTGATGTCAAAAGAAAACTGGTGGGAAGAATTTGTTAAAAGGTGGAACTTTCACTGCAACATTCAAAACTCATTATTTTGCTTCTCTATTTGTTTAAACACACCTGGAATCAATGTGTGGCCCACGGCATTTCATTGACCTGAAGGTTAACCTTCCTCTGATGAATGCTGTTTTAATCCTAGTTGCATTTCCATACACGTAAATAGTGGTTAAAATGAGCCAGCTGCAGTCCGATTCAAACCAAATAAATTTTGCCATTGGTGATGTAGTATATGTTGGTACTGACACCCAGAGGATTGGGAAAATCGAGTTCATTGGTGAAACTCAGTTTGCCGCTGGTGAGTGGATTGGTGTCAGTCTGTTCTCTCCGCTGGGAAAAAATGACGGCAGCGTTGATGGTGTGGTTTATTTCAAGTGTGAACCCTCTCATGGTATTTTTTCGAAGCGTGGTAATATCCGACATGCATCAAACACTGATGTGTTAGAGTCTGCGAAAGTAATTGATCATTTTTACTATTTGGTCTTATAAGCCTAACTTTTATTGTTTTTCATTAGCCTGCAATGTTTCAAATAGTGAGTCAAGTTCACAGTCGCGTGAGTCAGCGGTATAAACTGATAGTTTGACCACTAAGTAGGGTTGAGGGCCCTGTAACTGCACATTATTTGTATGTTTAATGCAAATGGTACCATATTTCCCCTGTTTGTTCTTGATGATCTCGCATGTTCAGCGAATTCTGACATGCTGTCGCCTGAGTTAGTCGCAGAAAATGTGTAACTAAAGTGACATGTTTAATTTAAGTTGGCTCTAAATCACCCGTTTTGCAGATGTCCGTGGTCATTTAAGGGGGTTTCAGGGCGACGAATTGGGCGCATGTAAGTGTGTAAGCGTATGTCTTGCCCACACTTGCGTGTGGTTTTATCTGATATTTAAGTTCTTTGACCGATTACAGGACAAACTAGTCACAGTGGGAAGTTCTGTGTGATATTTGGATGTGTAATTGGACCTGTCTGTTGAGTCTCATAACGTTCTCAGTTATGCCTGCACTGTACCTGGGTCATCCACATATCACTCCTAAAGTTCGTATTTTGCTGATGTGGTGAAAATCGGGCACCCCAGACGACACGACAGGTCATTAATGAATGGTAAGAGCATTAAGGTTTCTAGAGCAGACTCAGCTTGCTTTCGTATGAGATCCTTCCACGCAAAGGTAATTCGCGAGCCACGAGATTCCCGTCTGGTCAGTCTTGTGGAGAAGGATCTCTTGTTTAACGGTGTTAAATGTCTTCGCAAAGGTGAGAAAGTTCACGTGGATTGGAATATTCATGTCCCAAAATGACATCCAGCCATTCCACGCGACAGTAGGTTTGTTGAGTAGAATCTACCTTTACTGAAACCGTGCTGAGTTTCACGGTGTTCATTCGTTCTGTTAGGCAATTTCTGATCTCATCAATTTATCATTTCCATCATGACTAAAGTATTACCATAGGTCTGTAACAAATAAAATCTTGTCGGCCCCCATTCTTGAAAACAGAAAGAGGATGGTCGTATTACAATGAGCTTCTGTGAGTCTACCGAATAGTTTCTGCTTAGTGCTGCAAAATGGTTGGTTTAATGTTGTTGCAACTCCCATTCAGTCAGCCCTATTTGTAGTGGGAGCCGCTCTCATTGCTGGATGCCGTACGCATATTTCTCTTGAAAGTTATTGGTTGCCGCTTGTAGGACTCAATGGGGAGGAGGTTGTTAAGTCGGACGTTTATCGCGACATTTGTCTGTGTGAAGCTCTGTGTATTTGTAGGACTTTAGGGGGGGACAGAAGACTCAACTTCTTTGTCACGGTTTATTGTTGCTCCTAATGTGGGTGGTGAGCTTAGGGTGCACAGCTGCCCTTGTACAGCACACACTAGCTAGTTCACCACTTCTGTTCAAGTAGGTTGCTGCTAAAAACGATATATTGAAGAGAATAAGAACGCTTAATTAGTGATTGGATGTCTTGTGTCAAATAGCTGGTTGCGGATCGTCGTTCTTGAACATATTTGTGGGTACAGTCCTCTTAGGCTGCTTCAAGGTTCGGCTTTTCTCACTATTAAAGTTGTCTAAGTCCTCCAAACCGTGTTAAGATTACTTGCTACTTATGTTGTGGTACCTAAGGGGCTAGCGTGCAGAACATCCGGTTTGAAGATGGTTGTATATCTTCAGTGTCTCACGAGTTATTCTCCTGGTAGGCTTGCTGGGGAGGGACAGTTCCCACTGGTGGAGTCGTAGGACAGGACGGATTAGTGTACTCGGGCTAGGGACATAACATATTCAACATAAACCCACTTGACGGTTTCGATACCTTTGTCATGATGCTATTACACCCATCTTTTTCGTCAGACAATGTTTTTGAGGGTTTGGTCTTATGCTGTTTCATCGTTTCCTCATGACAGTTTCGTTAGGTTCACCAGGTGACATCCTAGCGGAGCGCAACAGGGCTTTGTATCCACCTTACAAGGCCAGCGATGTCTGGTTTCCAGGAGTGAGGGACTGTGACACGTATATGGGACCTGAGTTACTTTTTGAGCCTGAAGGACAGGGGCCTATTAGTTGAAATATTGTGTGTAGCTATTTGTGACTTGAAGTTCTAGATGTATCAGGATTTCAATTTTTCACATTACACGGCTTATTATCAGTAACCATATTGATTCCCTCATATATATTTACGTGTTAATCTCCATATAATCTCATTTTTTTTATCGTAGGCGAGTTCTAAGTTTTATTGATGTGGTATAACTGCAAACATAACATATTTGCCTCAACTAAACATACATAAAGGAATTAAAATTGAACAGTCTTATAAATGCATTTATACATTCTAAATGCAATCAGATGGAATTTGGCTAATTCTATCGCTTTAACCGTAGCGTTTAAAATGATGGAGTCAGTCACAACGGCTTAAAATAAGTGTGGAGATAGTATATGTTTTTTATATTCAACTGTGTCTGTAGCTCATTGGATTGGGTCATTGGGTTATATCTTCGAACCCAAACCTGCTTGTCGAGGTTTATCGAGTCAAGAAGTATTGTCATCCTTCACGTAATAGGTGTGGTTCATTATGAGTTGCACTGAAAGATCTATGGATCTTGGGCAATGTTATATATTTATTTATGTACATTCACCTGAATAGATATTTTAAGATTTTAATGCCATTAGTGTACACGTCAATATCTTATTTGACAGTCTTTCTCAGTGTAGTACCAGAAAACCCGTAGTTCCAATATACTTTTTCTTTATTTATTGGCATGTTTAGTATATGCTGTTCTTTTTATGACCAATAAACTGTATTTCCACCTTATATTTCAAAATAATAGTAAGTGCAAACTTAACACCGGCTACTGATGGAAGATTAAACATTGAGTACCACGACAGAATGCAAATGCTTCACAGAGTTATAAGCCTTCGGTCACATTTGCTATTCAAAGACTAGTGATATTGGTCCGTCACTGAAATGTTGGTGGTTAGGCTTGTATTCAAATTCATAACATAAAGTGAAATAAGAGGTATTGATCAGTCAGCTTTGGAATATCACTTTTCCAGTTCTTAAAGCACACAATGGACTAACATATTTTTCTCTTCCTTTTGTAGTCTCAAAAGTGTTAATTATTTTAAAGGTGCTTATTTCAGGTATCAGATAAATTCATAAGCTCTACTGGAATTTTCTATCCTGCATATATTTAAAAAAAATTGACGTTTATGTACCATTCTATTACTCAATGCTAAATTTACCTTATTTTCTATTGATTACCTTTTAGATGGAAACAACAATCAATAATGACGATAGATTGTCAATTAGTTTGTCGAAGCAGGATAGTACTGCCGATGTCGGTAGTGTTTGTTCATCTCGACATTCAGCAGTAAATTCTCATATAGTCCCGCCTGGACAATGTGGCCTCCAAATTGGTGATCTTGTCCAAGTTTCTGGAGGTCGTGTCGGTATCTTAAGGTATTTAGGACCAACAGAATTCGCTGTTGGTGAATGGGCTGGAGTTGAGTTAGATGAACCTACCGGAAAAAATGATGGTTCAGTCGCCGGTGTACGGTAGGTGACGTAATAGGTGTTGTAACGCTTTGTATAAGATATCTTTACCTTTGAACGTTAACCATTCCTTATTAGTATTTGTATCTGTAAATCTATGCGTTTGTTTATAAGTTGGACACCGAGGGTGGGTAGCCTCCGGTCTTCCTATCAAAATGTTCCCATTTGGCCACGCGTTTTGTCTGTCTGTTTTCGACATAGAACTTTGCACCGATGTGCACCAGTTCAAGTCGCCACACTCCAAAAATGTAGCACACAAAGCAGGAGAAGAAAGTAGAAGAAATGCATAATACAGACAGTAAGCAGAGGTGTGAGACAAAGAAAGAGTAGTAACGAAGAACAAAACAGTTTCATTGGAAATCATAAGTCACAAGGAGTGGATGCATCTGCGCTAGCCATTGAGAACGATTCTAAGCCATGTCATCAATTGTTTCCAACCATTTGTTTTTACCGTCCCGATGACCCCAACAAAACAAGAAGTCTACACCTTCCTACGTAGCTTAGACTAACTGTTGTAGATTTCATTGACTGGTGCCATGTTTTGGTTTGACCTCCGCTAGCTCTTTTCCAGCCTGACCCTATATCAGCTAACATTGCCCGCCGAGGAAGGCGATGACTAGGCACACGTAACAACATGTCCCAACCATCTCAGTCGATGTAACTTCACAACCTTGTCGATTGATTTCCCCTGCTTACCTAGAACTCTATGCCTAACCTCAATATTGCTCACCTTGTTATACAACTTAACATGGAAGGTGGAGCGCAGACAGCTGTGATCAAAGACAGCTAACCCTTTCATGTCTTCCACTCTCAATGGCCAGGTCTCAGAGACAGCCATAAGGAAGGACGGAGCAGACTTCTGAGCAGTACACTCGCCCTCTGGTCGATAGCTGGTCGGATATCACGTCCACGCCAGAGATGGCGTAAACTGGGATATGCGAAACTAGCCCTCTGTATCCGTGCTGAGATTTGTGTCTCTTGAGGTCCTAACATGCCAGAAAGGTTGTTTGGGTAGCGGTTTGACAAAAAGCAGCTACCCAATCCAATACCATGATTCAAACAAATTCACGCGTTTTGTGCATCTGCTGGATAAGTTCTACCTACTAGCTTCATGTGGTGTTCTCAGTAGAGTGATTGGGCGAATGCGTACGTTCGGCATTTTGTCACTGGACTGGTAGACATGGATGTCCACCAAGGGGAGCTGGGAAACGCTGACTCTAGACCTGTTACGCAAATGAGTTGCAGAATCTAACGGAATCGAATGGTGTAAGTATTTGTTTTGGTTACTGGCAGCCATAGGGAGGCATCTCCTGGTGCTGGTCTACTACTTTATGGATCAGGCTTCATGGCAAAGGCTTAAACAGTAGTCCCTTAATACAACCACTGGTTCGTTCTCGTCATCCCGATAGTATCTCGACCCTCATACAAATCATGAAAGAACAGTCAATGGAAGATTCCATTCGCATGTACACTATCACAAATAACTACTATGATCATACGTTCAGTAACTTGATCCTTTTTCAATATATATATATATATAGTCCGTTCTGTTCTATTTTCTACTAACTTTACTTTTTCTGGTATCGTCACTTGCATAAACCGTTTGCCGTTTTTTTGAAGCCTCATTCTATCCGTACCGTTCGATTTGGTATCAATCTTTTACCGGTTATGTCGCAAATCCTGGCTGTTTTCGTACCTTTCAGACTTCACAAAGTGTAAAAAGCGATCCGTGATGAAAAAGCTGGGTTTTTCAGACCATAGTTAAATGTTCAGTCCTCACCACTTGATAGAATAATTTCCGACACAACACAAACCAAGAATCGTTGTATTTCTCGATATTGTAGTTGCCTTTATTCCGTTGAACGTGATCCATTTAGTCTTTTAGAGTGGTATCCTTGATAAGTTAATCGAGATTTTGAAAACCAATCATTAGTACCCCAAGTAGAATTAGGGGGTACACTATTCTCAAACGCCAGTGGGGCTTGATAGCGTTGCTTGATTACAGAGTTTCGCTTTAGGTAGTTGCGAAGGATGTACGTGGTGGCGGCGGTGTAACTCTGCCAGGAGAAAAGATTATTTGACTTCGAGCATGCAGATAATGTCGTCTTACTATGCGATGATATGTGAGCTGCTGCGGTTAATTAGTTAACAGTCAATATTTTCAAGTATGGTATGTGCTTCGCGTCTCTTAAATGTAAGGATTATTGCAAAATCACAAATAGCCTGCGTCCCCACCCACCCTCACAAGGAGAGAGAGGTTTCGTGTGCATTTCGGATTGTGAGGGCGATTGTTACTTCCCGGCTGCCCACACCGTGGAAGTTGGTTGCGTGACCGCAGAGCCCAGGGGACAGCTGCTTGAGGCCGGTCACACGCGGCCTGTTTTTGTTCGTTCTTTTTTGTTTGGTGTGTCTCAGTAGCAGATTTATCACTCCTGCCCTGTGACACGGCAGCAGGAAGCGCGGTCGTTGTTAATCCGGGCCACGGCCGATCCGGCATGAAATTTTGTGATTTTGTATTGGACATGATGTTGGATTGGGTAGCTGCTTTTTGTTTAACCGCTATCCAAACAACCTGCATGGCATGGTAGTACCTCAAGAGACATAAGTCTCAGCCAGTATAGCTTGAATAGATCATTGCGGTGTTCAAGCCCGACCACCACGTCAAGGTAGCAGCTTTCGGTCGGGTAAGCGTTATCCACTAGACCACCCTCACAAGGAGAGTCATTAGAAGTAGTGGAAAAGGTTTTGCGTGTGTAGGTGCTAGTAAGAGAAAGGTTGACATTCAACTCTCCTGTTACTCAGGTTGTGCAGGCTGTCATTTACAACACTTCTGTGTACAAAGTCATACTTTTAACCTGTAAGGCGTGTTTTTGCTGAACTGGGGATGTGTGTGATGTTTGATTATCGCTCTCTCCTTAGGACGGTCACAGAATTTTAGTGATTCTTAAGTCTCACGGCCAATGTTTGCATAAGGTGGTTTGATCTACCAATGATTATCACCGTGAAACACCGGATTCGTTGGTTTAAACATGTGCGTTGAATATCATTCCAGTGGTTTCTATACGATTCACTATTTTCTTACGTTTAGATTAGTTGGATAGTGTACAGAAGTAATAAGCCCATGACATGGCGTAATAAAATGAAAGATAGTCGTGTTGAGTTAGAATCTTCTGGTTTAATCATTACTCCCAAGATAAGGTATGAGCAATCATACGACTCAGTGGTTCAAAACCTAATCAGATGCACTTCAAAAATCAATTACAATCACAGGGGAGTCCTCATGTTTCCCCCATTACCAAATATATTGTGTAATTGTAGACGTATAGAAAATGAAAACAAGTGATTCAGCGAAGAGACTTTTTTCAACGAATTTATCATCAAGCTGTACAATCGTATATATATATATATATATATATATATATATATATGGTTTTTAAGGAGTTATGTCCGGTGATGGAATTGAATCATAAGTGTGAATGCATAAAATAATAATAGTATGAAATACAATTAAAAACTAAAATGTTTGTGATTATACTCATAGTTAAATGTCAAGTGGCAAAGCAAATTAATGTCATATATAGAATAATTCATAGGATGGATAGAACTTCAAAAAAGGTGTGCAATTATAGGATTAGTAGACAAATCGAATAAAATAAAAACGTTACGTAATATTGTGTGAAATTTAATAGCATAGAATTTAACGTTGTAAAAAGAATTGATTTAGAATGACAAGGGGAACAAGTGAAATAATACCGGGGGCAGTTCAAAGTGAGAGTATTAATAGTAACAATTGACGTAATAAGGAAGAGTATACAAATTGAATAGACAATATGAAAAATATATAAGGTAAGAATATACGTTCAGATCCTATAAAACGTGACTTATCAACCGTACCCAAGAAAATACTTTACATGAGCTTGGAATTCAAAAGGGACTTAGCTTCCAATACCATGAAACGAAGGATAACGCAGTCCCTGAAAAGAACATTCCCTGCTGCATCTCTGAGAATAGCCTTTACTAGCCGGCCATTACTGTTCAATAACCTGAAGGACAAGATCCCGCTGTTGACCAACTTTTTGTGTGTTTATCAATTCACCTGGTCGTGTGGAGCTAAGTATATCGGTCGTTCGACTCGAGTTTTGTCCAAGAGGGTGCAAGAACACTATCCTGCATGGTTACGAAAAGGTGGAAGTGGAGCAATAAGAAGCGCGATCATAGAACATCTGGTCGATAATGATCACCCTATCTCCATAGCCTCCGCCTTTACAGTCATCTACAAGGCAAAGAGTAATTTACCAAAGTCCCTACGTACCCGACTCTGTATTGCTGAAGCTTTGGCTATCGGAACAGAAAAGCCAGATCTCTGTGTACAGAAAAAGTTCGTTTAACCCCTCCAACTTTCATGGTCTTAATCCCTCTATTCTGAAGTATGGTAATCCCCAATCATATTTTAGCTCTACCAATTTTTCATTTTGTCTATTCAATTTGTATACTCTTCCTTATTACGTCAATTGTTACTATTAATACTCTCACTTTGAACTGCCCCCGGTATTATTTCACTTGTTCCCCTTGTCATTCTAAATCAATTCTTTTTACAACGTTAAATTCTATGCTATTAAATTTCACACAATATTACGTAACGTTTTTATTTTATTCGATTTGTCTACTAATCCTATAATTGCACACCTTTTTTGAAGTTCTATCCATCCTATGAATTATTCTATATATGACATTAATTTGCTTTGCCACTTGACATTTAACTATGAGTATAATCACAAACATTTTAGTTTTTAATTGTATTTCATACTATTATTATTTTATGCATTCACACTTATGATTCAATTCCATCACCGGACATAACTCCTTAAAAACCATATATATATATATATAGTTCAAAGTGAGAGTATTAATAGTAACAATTGACGTAATAAGGAAGAGTATACAAATTGAATAGACAAAATGAAAAATTGGTAGAGCTAAAATATATATATATATATATATATATATATATATATACGATTGTACAGCTTGATGATAAATTCGTTGAAAAGAGTCTCTTCGCTGAATCACTTGTTTTCATTTTCTAAATTGTAGACGCTGTTTCCAATGTCATCCTTTTTCTATTCTGTTTTGATCGCACAGACATTGTAAATCAAATTGGAGTGTGAGTGATATTTTTTAGTGGTAAATGTATTAAGTTGCGAAGTCTTGTGCAAGCTTAGGCGTAATATTTGTGACTAGTAAAGACGGGATGGAAGTTAGTACCGTACTCGTGGAATTATTTCACTTTTGTGTAATATCGTGATTATATGACGACTCGGATTGATGTACTTTTATGCGAGGTTTATCCTACTGTCAGCTTCAAACTAGGAGTCTCTAAGGATATTGTTAACTAGCCTAAAAACTTTTAATAGATAAAAAGCTCCATGTATTCTATTCACTTTAAAAATCTTGTGTACATTTCTAAGGTAGCGGTTTAAGAACAATAAGGCTTCAATCACATTTCACGTGTCAGCATAGATTTCAATGTAGACTTCTGCACAAACCAACATCAATTACAGATCACTAAAAACCAGGGAGTACAGGACAGTTATTTCTACCTGTCTGTAGCTGTTCAGTATTACGCACCCACGACATCGCCAGTGATCGGACCCATGGCCTTCATGTTGCGAGACCAAGCTGATTGACCGTTCAGCTACTTGGGCCGGAATTCAATGACCTATGAATTCTAATTTTGTTAATTCGTGATATAGTGCTATCCTCACCAATGCCTTCGGTTAGCATCCACCCCATGTTGATATGATGAACTGCACCGGTCATGACTTCTCCATACAGCCACAGGGCATCTACCTAGTATTCATCAGTAAGTTGGATCGCTGGTGGGGTCGTGGTTGTGCACTGTGAAGAATCCCTTAATAGGACGAAACAGCTTTCCAGTGGTCCCTAGTTTTTAATCATTTTTAATTGATGTTAGTTCGTGACGAAATTTAACAGCTAGAATTGAATCGGTGATTTTTGTTGCATATTTTCGCCTTATTTTCATTGATACCTGAAATCTTTGAGTTATCTTACAAAGTCACTCAGGTCATTTTATATAGCTTAGCAAATACAAACAAATAGACTGGAATTCACTACGCTTCATTTATGAAACAGTTTTTTTTAATGAATCTTTATACCCTTAATTTATTATTTCTTTTGTATAGATATTTCACTTGTAAACCAAATTATGGATTATTTGCCGCTGCTAATCGTGTTGTACGGGCTGGTACTAGTAAGGATGAAAGTCGTACTTCTGGTTTCAATGTTTCAAAAAATGGTCAAACGCGGTGAGTATTATTTTGGTATATTTCTTCAATTAGTGGGAACAGGTTCTTTAGCAGTTTCCTGGAGAAAAAAGTCCAAAAGCAGACTTATCGTATAGTTGTTAATTTACGTTTCAATATAGTGATTGGTATTTATCTGTTGCTAGCATTCGTCAACTTACACAAGATCTTATATTTCTTTTTCTTCTTAATTCATGTCTCTTCATATGTGTTCATGATCTATTTGCTGGTATAGTTCAGAAATTGCGTTTCATTGATCTAGGCACTTGACTTCCATCCATTGGTTCACAGTTTCGAACCTTACTCCAGGATCAATCTTTTTTAGAAGGTGACAGATAGCTGGAAGCACAGGATAGCTGTAGCGTTCTAGTTTTTGAGTCGTCAGCTCACTGCTTTAAGTCCACGGGAATCACATGCTTTTTTCCTTCTTTTGTCTTCTGAGTCGAGGTGTGTTTTTCTACGAGATTAGTATGTTAGGCTGCTCATGTTCAACCTTTCCTTTATTTTCGGGCTTTATTCTGGCTAGGCAAGGTTCAGTAGTGCGTTTGTTAGCCAGGATCCGAAATCGGACCGCAGGCAACCTGGTTGGTGTACATTCTACTATCGAACCACCTACCTACATAGGGGTTACATGTGACAACAGTTAGTCACTTATGATACTGCTTTTGTCATATCATAGATGCTATGCAAGTTAGGAAAACGATTAACTGCTGAATTGTGATCCAATGGCTAAGTAGTGCCGTTCTTACCAAGAGATATAGTAGTTGTCATGTACACACTGTCGTGTGTTCTCCATAGACTGAAACTTGGCGAATTCTCAAGCTGATACTGATTCTTCAGAGATACTGCTTCGAAGTAAATATTTATCAGGCAGTGGTTTATTATCGACAACCGTATCTCCAGATTGAGAAGTTTTTTCTTCATGTTTAAGAAGGCTATTGGTTAGATTTTGTTTCTTGTTTTAGTTTGTATGTATGTGTACATTAAGTTTGTCAAACAAAAATACAATTTCAGGATTTCATCATGAGCTGACATTAGTTACAGAACCATTGGAAAACCTGGGAGTACTGGACAGCTGTTTCGTCCTAGTTTGGAACTCTTCATCAGTACGCACCCACCGGGATTCGAACCCAGGACCTTCTGGTTACAAGGCGAGCTCGTATACCATTAAGTCACTGGGACCCGATCCAATGGTCCTTAAATTCTAAGTTCTGCCAATTCACGACATAGCGCGACCGTTAGCCAATGTCTTCGGCGAGTATTTGTCTTCACACCCAACCCACTGCACCCTACTGGTTACGACTTCCCACTGAACCCAGGTAACTACCTACCTGAATAGGACCAGTCGCCAGTGAGCATCTCACTGGTATTCAAGTGTTGGTTTGTAGGGATTTGATTGGTTTCAGGATTTCATCGTGAGCTGACATTGGTTATAGTTATTTTAACTAAACAGGTGAAGATTGGTAATTGGAGTTACGTAATACAAAATCAGTCAAGAAAATTGGGTGTTAATGAAATTAGGGTAGTAACAAAGATGATGTGTTGTCACAAACAGTTGTTAAGAGAAGTTATGCAATAATATGAATAGTTTGATGAGTGAGTTTTACTCAGGATGCACATACGAAGAGTTCTAAATGAAAACAAGAATTATAAGCAGTTAAAGAACAGGCAAAGAAATAAAATTAAGTCATCAAATTAAAAAAAATCAAATAAAAAAAGTTGTTACCAAGACAGTAGAAGTGGTTGATTTTGATGACTTAATTTTGTTTCTTCGCCTGTTCCTTAATTGCTTATAATTCTTGTATTCATTTAGAACTCTTCGTATGTGCATCCTGAGTAAAACTCACTCATCAAACTATTCGTATTATTACATAACTTCTCTCAAAAACTGTTTGTGACAACACATCACCTTTGTTACTAACCTAATTTCATTAACACCTTATTTTCTTGACTGATTTTGTATGACGTAACTCCAGTTACCAATCTTGTTTTGTTTATGAGTTTTTAACGTACGCTATCCAGCAAAATATTTTCTTTTATTTCATTGAACACTTATTTACTTTTGAGCAGTTGGGTAGTAGTACCCCTAGTCTCCACACATACAATAAGTGTGACTCATTGCCAACTGCATGTTAATGCAAGTGTCTGTTGAGTAGTAATTCCTGTGTACATTGATTGGACACTAACTAGTATCATGCGTCTAGGTCTTTGTTTGCTGCAGACTGAATTCTATCAATCAATCATTCGCAAGCCCGAATAGCTCAGTGGTAACGTCTGTGACTGTAGCCACACTGAGTGACGCGCGTTCGAATCTCAGAGGGGACATGTGTTCCTTGAAGATTGCAGATACGCTTTGCTGACTGGTGAGTGACAAAAAGCACGAAATCTAAGTGCGAGGTTTCTTGCCGACTGCCTACAACCACCTCATACTTGATTTGTTTTTCATGAGCTAATCGGAAATGATTTTAAGCCCTTTTTAGGCGAAATTAATCTTTCTACACCCAACAAATACAAATGTGCCAAACGTCTTGGTATATTGAGTCAGAGCAATGCTGTGAAACCAGGTAAATAATGCATTATATTCACGAAAAAAATTGAATGAAGTGTAAAGATATTCAACAGGATGTCTGATTAGTTAGTTTTAGAATGGGTTGAGGAAAGATTAAGATTATGTTTAGGCTAAGGACAAGTTAGGGTTAACTTAACCAAATTAGGGGAATATTACGGTTTGTTATGAACAGATTATGGTCAAGTTAGGCGTAGATTGAAGTTACAGTTAGTTTGGGGATAGATTAGAGTTACGGTTGAGTTAGAGGATCAAACTTACCTTTAAGTGTTATTGACTGTTTCCAAAGTCATTGTTGAATTCTCGTCTGTTGAGTGTCTAAAGTTTAACTTTATCCCTTTTTAAGTAGTAGTAATTTGACAATGGCATTTTTTATAACCCTGAAATATTTTCTGACCGAAATTCCGGCTTAAAATAATTGAATTTTAACAAATTTGTGTAATCTTTGTTGTACTTTCTGATTGTTTGTGCTGTAATAATGCATCATTAATGGCATTTATAAATTTACACGTATATGTACTTGTTATAAGAAGTAATGAAATGAAAATGAACTCCCATAGATTAGGCTGGGAAGCCCTCATCTAAACTACTTGTAACAGAGAATTGCAGTGTAGTGCACTACATAAATTGATATACAGCTATAGTTTCTGACTGACTGGTTCCAACCGAGAACTTTGAACAAATGTGCAGCAGTTCCAGTTGGCACACTCTCTCCATGTAGCAAACAAAGCTAGAGAATGGGAAAAGAAAGATTCAAGAGAGAGAGAGAGAGATAATGAACAGAGATATGAGGCAAAAAGAGTAGTGATATAGGAGAACGATAGAATTTTGTTGGATATTATAAATCACAAGGAGTGGATACATCTTCACCAGCCATTGACAACGATCACTTTGAGCCATATCACCAATTGTCCCCCGCCTTCACTGGTCCTTACCATCCTGAGGACCCCAACCAGTCAGTCAGGAAGTCTACACCTCTCTACGTGACTGGCTAACTTAAACTAACTGTTGCTGATTTCATTGACTATTGAAGCCATGTTTTTGTTTGACCACCACCACTAGGTGTTTTCCAACGTGACCCCATGTCAGCTAACGTTTCTCGTCGGTCGAAGAAGGCGATGACTGGGCATACGTAACACATGTCCTAATCATCTCAGTCGATGTACCTTCATAGCCTTTTCGATTGATTTCCTTTCTTTACCTAGCACTCAACTGAGACCTAAACTCAATATTGCTCACCTTGTTATACAACTTAACATACATGGGAAGGTGGAACGCAGACAGTTGTGATCAAAGACAGCTAACTGGCCCTTTCATGTCTTCCACTCTCAATGGCCAGGTCTCATAACCATAAGGAAGGACGGAGCAGACTTCTGAGCAGTACACACGCACTTTGGTGGATAGTCAGCCGGATATCACGTCTACTAAGCCAGAGATGGTTTAAGCAGGCATATACGAAACTAGCCTTCTGTATCTGTGCTGAGATTTCGTCAGCGATCAACCCACTGACGTTGGCTGATGCAACTCTCCAAATAAGTGGAGCGGTCAACACGCTCTACCACTTCACTCTCTATCTTTAGGCTAGGAGTTAATGTAATCCAGTCCTGTGGCATCATTCTACATTTGGCGGGAGCGAACTGCATGCCAGACATTCCAAGATTGGTGCTCAAGGTGTTCAGAAGACTCTGCATTTTCATCAGCGGCTTCACCTAAAAGGACTATATCGTCTGCATATTCTAAGTCGATGAGATTTTACCTTGACAACAATTCAATCTGTGAGTTTCTGAAGTCATTCAGAGTTAAATCCATTAGTACATCTATGATGCAGTTAAAGAAAAATGGGGACAGTCAGCATCCCTGACGGAAAACACTGGTTGTCACCACTTCAGATGACAACTCTTTAGTTTCTCATAGAGATGGGTAAAATTTGATTACATGTAGATTTTGTATCCATCCTGTAAAGTAATAACTACTGTATGTGATGGATTAATATAGCGTTTTTCACAGAAGTGTTTCAGTTTATGCTGTGACACTTGGAGTAATAAAGTAAATAAAATAAGGTAAGAGAAACAAAATGATGCTAAATTAGACACAAACATGAATTACACGACAGTTAATCGAAGAATTTCACAACGTAGATGATGATGATGATGACGAGTGAATATATCTCCTCTGCCTTTGTGAACAATCTTGAGTAATGTTTTGTTTTATGCGTTGATTGATATTCATTGGCTTTTTTCTCAGGTATTAGAATTTGTCACACCTTTTCTGATTCATTTTGTATAGTTGTCCTTTATTTACTTATTATTTTATTCTTTTACGTTCCAAGTGGAACATAGGACTTCAACCTTGTGCTTTGAGGTTTCAGTAGCAGTGGTGATTATTTTTACAGGGTGGGGTTGTTAGCCTCACACCCAACCTTCCCTCTTTACCGGTC